CACTGTCTGGAAGAAAGTGTATTCCAACTTCCTTGTCTTAATGATATATTTAGGTTACCAAGCAGGGCCAGATCTACGGACTTCAGCTTCCATCTCCCTGCTGGGTTTTATGTTTCAACTATTTTGGAGTGCTCCAACCCTGGAGGCATTCAAGAAAAACTTAGATCCTCACCTGGCAGATCTGCTTGGACCCTATTCCTGCCTTGAGCAGAGGGGGTTGGACTTGATGGCCTCATAGGCCCCTTCCAACTTCACTTTTCCATGATTCCATGGTTCTGTCTTGTGTTTGGCATCCGGGCAGCATTCCTAAATGGGCCCCCTGCTAGTTGGAAGGTGTGGGGCTGGAAGGTGTGAAGTATATAAGCCTCTGACTTAATACAAAAGTCAAGAGAGAGTTTTTATAGGAAATAACATGTAGAGTAAGATTTTGTACTTCAAGACCAGGAATAAAACTACTTTTGGCCATATCCAGGTATCACTGCCCACTTTTGAAATTCTGACATTTGAAACAACGCTAAATTTAAATCTGCTTCTCTTTGTATAGCCATTCCTGGGCTTGGAGATGAACAAAAAGCAACACACAAAGGCAAAAGTCTAGATAGAACACATACAAATAACCCCCAAATAATAAGAATCGCAATTCCAATTCCAACGTATCATAGGGTGGAGAAATCCAGCATTCATGAAGTTATCCAAGACCAATCCCATGAACCTGAATTCAACTCTTTTATCCCGAGTAGACATGGTCTAGAGGGGCGGGGTAAAAATCAAATTAATAAATAAAATAAAATAAAATATCCTCACAATTCAACTCTGCTAACACATCATGATCCCATGCTAGTCCTTTTGAGGTGTTCTGGTTCTGTCTTTGATTTATATTAGGCACACAGCCCACCACGATGCAGGAGCGTCCTATCAGTGGCTAACCTCTCTTGCAAAACCATGTTCTTCGGGGAAACTACTTCAGCCTGTAATTTTTGCTTGTCCCTCCGTAGTGACCTTCTCCAAGAGATCTATGGCTCCTGAAGTCTTCTATACAAATTCAGCTGAGGTGGGAATGTCTTTATAGTTAATTTTCTGAGGCATCTACTGCTGGAAAAATGGCTCCTTCGTACTTTGAGTCTCTGTGGAACCATTTCCAGGCCTCCAGAGACCTCCAGGTGACATGTGTGGCTCGAGGAGAAGAACTTGGATCTCCTTGAAATCCTTCTTCAAGAAGGGCCGTTCGGGCAGCAGAATCTGCCCTCTCCGAATCCCCCTTTCCCTCCCTCCCCATCCAGAGGCAAGTTTCCTGCTTATAACGTATTTAAGGAAGCTTTTGTTATTTCCCTTCTTATTGCTGGCCATACGTTCCATCAGTCCTTTCTTGGCCTTCTGTCTCATCTTCTTCCATGTCTTTTGCAGAGTTTGTGTTCCTTTTTGTTTTCCTCACTTGGGAAGAATTTGCATTTACGGAAGGGCCACTCCTTTCCCTTTAAAGCCTCTGCAACTCTGCTCGTTAACCATGCTGCACCTTCTTGGACTTAGTTGAGCCCCTCTTTCTTTGTGGTACACTTCCCTTGGACCTTGATTGTATTAAACAGACTCCATGAACGCTGGAAAGATTTTTTTGTAACCTTCCCTTTCAATTTCTTTTTAATTAGTTTTCCTCAACTGTGGGTAGTCCGTTCTTCAGAAACCAAGGGTGTTTTGATCTGGAGGACAAGCGCACCCCCCCATCACATCACTCCTTGGGTCTCGCAGTTTAACCCACAGTGATTCTATGATGGTCTGAGACCCGCCGTCCACCTCCTTTCTGATGGATTCTGCCCCTTCTTTGACCTAGATGGCCACACCACCTCCCACATGCCCCTCCCTATCCCTCCTGGATAGCCTGGGATGGCCGAATCCCACTGGCTCTTTGAATCCCACCAGGTTTAGATAATGGGCACTGTATCAATGCTCTTTCTAGCCTCCAAATGTTCCAGTTCTCCCCTCTTTGCTCAGACGCTTCCGGACTTTGTGTAAAAGCACCTGGGTATGGGAGTCCTTCAAGAAGGGTGGTTTGTTTCTTTTTTCCTATAGAGAGCTCCTTGCAACAAGGACACACTCATGACACTTTTGCCCAAGAGGCAGGTAGTTGTGCAGACGACACAGGATAACCCACAACCCACTGTTGTCTTCCTGACTGCATGCTGGTTTTTGTTTCAAGCTTGCCAAACCTCTTCCTCAAAGGATGCGAGAGGCAGGATCCGGGGCCCTGGCTTCCTCCCCTCCCCATTGCTGAACTCACTGGGTCTTCTTACCCTGCCCTTGATGGCAGGAGGCAAGGACTGATAACTTGACCCCACCTGGTAGAGAATGTGCAGCATTCAGAATTCTTAATACAGTGGTGCCTCACTTAATACAGAAGAGCCTCGTGGCACAGTGGTTAAACCTCTGTACTGCAGCTAAAACTGTTCTCATGACCTGGGGTTCAAATCCCAGGTAGCCGGCTCAAGGTTGCCTCAGCCTTCTATCCTTCCGAGTACCCAGCTTGCTGGGGGGGCAATGTGTAGCCTGCATTATTAAATTGTAAACTACCCAGAGAATGCTTGAAGCGCTATAGGGCGGTATATAAGCAGCACGCTTTTTGCTTTAACGACTGCTCAGTTTAGAGATGAAATCAATTAGCGATGACTTTTTGGAGCGTTTTTGCGCTTCGTTTAGCGATGGTCCCTATGGGCGATTTTCGCTTAGCGATAGTTGGGACCATGCTTCGCAAAGCAATTAATTTTTTGGGTCCCCTGTTTTGGTTAACGATGGTTTAAACAGCCTTATGTTTGCTGTTTTTTAAATGTTTTCCCGTTATTATAAAGTTAAAGTTTAATGTTTCATATGTTTGAAATCATAAAGTGCACTTAATAAACCCTTTGTTAACCAAATTTAATTTTGTTCTGACTCTTTTTAAATTTGTTGTATTCCCCCCCCCCCGATTGAGATGCATTGAATAGTTTTCAATGCATTTCAATTGGGGAACCGCGTTTTGCTTAGCGATGTTTCGTATGGTGATTTTCGCTTAAGGACGGCAATCCGTTCCTTTTGGAATGGATTGTCCGGTTTTCAATGCATTTCAATAGGAAACCCTGTTTCGCTTAGCGATGTTTTCACTTAGCAACAAATTTTTCAGAACAAATTAACATTGCTAAGCGAGGCACCACTGTATTTAATTTCATTCTGGTCAGATACCTTCTCCATTTCAATGTATAAATATTGGGTTTTTATTCTGACCAATCTGGTTTATCAAATACTTTTTTCCTCTCACCCACCTTGGTTTAGATCTCTCACTCCAGAGCCAGAGGTTGGGCATTCCCTTCCCTTCTATCTCTGCAGTTCTAGTAAACTATTAACTCAGTACTTATTTCTCTGACCATCTCTGCTTGCTCTCCTGTTTTCAGGAATGCCTCATGATTCTCTACCCATAAGAGCATCTTATAAATGCTACATCCCACCTCGTTCATGGACCTGTCCTTTCTCTTCTCCAGATGAAGGAGAATCTCTGCAGACTTTGTCCGTTCCCTATATTGCCCACTCGTTACTCTTTACCCATTCTCCAGTCCAATAATCGAGCTGCATCTCATTCATCGACATTAACTGTTCCTTTTCCAACACTGTCCCCCCCCCTTGGTGTTCATTTTTGCTAACCAATCATTTAATTCAAATATATATTTTCTCTTTAATAAACATTGAGAAATTCCCTTTCTAATTTTCTGGAAAATTCACAACAGTTATCGGGGAGGATAAAAAAAGAGAATTAAAACTGGTCTTCAGTACAGTTTTCATTTTACATGAGAAAATTTGACCAAAGTCATCGGATCTTCCCAAAATCATTTAAGGAAGCAAAATTTTTCTTTTTAAAATCTTTTAATTTTTGTAACATTTATTCCTCCTTATCGTAGTCTATATAGTAATAATATCTTTCCTCCTTCTTCTATTAAAAAAAAGTCTCCTTAAGATGCATCTAGAACAGTGTTTCCCAAACTTTTTTCAGTTGTGACCAACTTGTATGATTGCTACGTAACCTGAAATTTTCATTAAAAGGCATTTTAATGGGATAAATACTCAAATGAAAATAGATGTTTCAGAATCGAATTTTGAGCTAATAATTAAGGTAGGGCTGCATGTCTGCCTCTACCAAATACACGTGTCAGGTACTTTTTGGGTGTGGCAAATTTTCCTTCATGACCCCTCCCCCCAAAAGGTTTTTTAGTGAAGTGCCCCTCCCACCTCAAGGCCAAAGGAACACCCTCAGGTCCAGCCTCACGCCCACCCTGTTTCTCCTCCCTCACCTTTTTGCCTGTATTTCCTTCCTCCTCTGTGACTCAGTCAGAGGCAGAATGTGTTTCTCCTTATCCCTGCAGCTTTCTGAAGTGGTTGTTTCTCTTCTTTTTCTTATCTACCAGATGATGAACAGGAGAAGAACAATTGCCCAGGAACACCTGGGGCATCAGGTGCAGAAAGATATAAACAAGGGGGAAAACAGAGAATTGAACATCCAACTAGGCAGGAATGGATGTCACATGAAAGAACATGCATAGAATGTGGAAAGAGCTTCAGTTACAGTAGTAACCTGAGTAGACATCAAAGTACTCACACTGGGGAGAAACCATATAAATGCATAGAATGTGGAAAGAGCTTCAGTTACAGTAGTAACCTGAGTAGACATCAAAGTACTCACACTGGGGAGAAACCATATAAATGCATAGAATGTGGAAAGAGCTTCAGTTACAGTAGTAACCTGAGTAGACATCAAAGTACTCACACTGGGGAGAAACCATATAAATGCATAGAATGTGGAAAGAGCTTCAGTTACAGTAGTAACCTGAGTAGACATCAAAGTACTCACACTGGGGAGAAACCATATAAATGCATAGAATGTGGAAAGAGCTTCAGTTACAGTAGTAACCTGAGTAGACATCAAAGTACTCACACTGGGGAGAAACCATATAAATGCATAGAATGTGGAAAGAGCTTCAGTTACAGTAGTAACCTGAGTAGACATCAAAGTACTCACACTGGGGAGAAACCATATAAATGCATAGAATGTGGAAAGAGCTTCAGTTACAGTAGTAACCTGAGTAGACATCAAAGTACTCACACTGGGGAGAAACCATATAAATGCATAGAATGTGGAAAGAGCTTCAGTTACAGTAGTAACCTGAGTAGACATCAAAGTACTCACACTGGGGAGAAACCATATAAATGCATAGAATGTGGAAAGAGCTTCAGTTACAGTAGTAACCTGAGTAGACATCAAAGTACTCACACTGGGGAGAAACCATATAAATGCATAGAATGTGGAAAGAGCTTCAGTTACAGTAGTAACCTGAGTAGACATCAAAGTACTCACACTGGGGAGAAACCATATAAATGCATAGAATGTGGAAAGAGCTTCAGTTACAGTAGTGCCCTGAGTTCCCATCAAAGAACTCACACTGGGGAGAAACCATATAAATGCATGAAATGTGGAAAGAGCTTCAGTCAGAGCGGTGACCTGAGTTCCCATCAAAGAACTCACACTGGGGAGAAACCATATAAATGCATAGAATGTGGAAAGAGCTTCAGTTACAGTAGTAACCTGAGTAGACATCAAAGTACTCACACTGGGGAGAAACCATATAAATGCATGGAATGTAGAAAGAGCTTCAGTCACAGTTGTAATCTGAGTTTACATCAAAGAACTCACACTGGGGAGAAACCATATAAATGCATGGAATGTGGGAAGGACTTCAGTCAACGCAGTCACTTGATTTCACATCTAAGAATTCACACTGGGGAGAAACCATATAAATGCATGGAATGTGGGAAGAGCTTCAGTCACAGCAGTTCCCTGAATTTCCATCAAAGTACTCACACTGGGGAGAAACCATATAAATGCATGGAATGTGGGAAGAGCTTCAGTCACAGCTCTAAGTTCAGTTCACATCAGAGAAGTCACACTGGGGAAAAACCATAGAAATGGATGGAATGTTGGAAGAGCTTCAGACAGAGTGATCAACTCAAGCCACATCAAAGAACTCACACTGGTGATAAACCCTATCAATGCATGGAATGTGGAAAGTGCTACAGTCATGTTAGGTATTTGTTTAAACTGAAGAATTGTTAATACAGTTTTTATATGATTGTAAGTGTTTGTAAGAATGGAAACAGTAGGAAAGGTCTGTAAATTTTATGATATAATACAGCTGTAAGAGGAATAAGCTAGTAGGGCTGAATGAGAATAGCTGTGGAAACAAAATGCTGAATGAGGAATCTACAGAAGCTAATCAAAAATTGGCTGAAGAGGAAGATAATTCCAACAGTTCCAGCATACTCAATCTTGAGGGTTGTGGGTTGACAGGAGAAGAGGGAGGAAATGCTGCTGGATGGATTTATGGCTTTGTATTTACCACGGAACTCTGATTTATTGGCTTGGTAAAACTGACTAATTGCTACTCTGTTATGCTCTTATGTATATCCCTTGGGAAGAGGTTGTTTTGCTGAGAGATGAAGCACTTCTCTCTCTCACACACACACACACACAGAGAGAGAGAGAGAGAGAGAGAGAGAGCTATCAGAAAGGAACACAGAACCACATAATTTGTTTTCATGGACTACAAAAACAGATGATGGAACTGATGCAGGGTGAAATTCCTTAGAAAAGAGGAAAGATCACCATGTGGCAGTGACAGCCAGCAATGGATTTTACATACGGCTGGGTGAGAACAGCATATTCTACGTGTTAACAGCCCGTTTAGAACCAAATAATGCTTTTGACTTTGTATATATTTATTTTTAAAGTTTAAATGCTTTTGCATGTCTTCATTGAAAATCATAAGGTTTTTTGCTTTTTGTCATTTTATTCTTAGAAAGTGTTCTTTCTAGATTATGAGCTCCGGTGTTTTGATGTTTGTATTTTTGATTCAAACATGTCTTAAAATTTGCAGATAACCTCAATTTAAATACCCACTGTTACGGTAGTGGTGACATCATCTGCCCGTCATTGCTGTGGCTGCGTGTCATCTGACAATAGCGTGATGGGAGGTGGGACATAAGAGGGTGGAGCTAAGGTGTTTAAGGGGGAATGAATGAGGTGTGAGTCATAGGGTTTGAGATAGGGACTTGATAGGGTCTTGTTAGGGACTTGGGGAGTTAAGGCTTGTACATGTTGTGTAGTACTGTGCTATATAGAGAGTGAAGGTCTGAGTGTGTGTGTGTGTGGTGGGGGTACTTTATTATACTGATTGCCTTTTATTTTAATTATTATAGTGATTTACCATTTCTTTTGTTATTACCAATAAACACAAGTTTTTATTTTAAAATCCATACAATTGCCTGAGGAGTCAGTTGAGTGTATGGTTGGTGGCAGCGTGAATATAGTGTGTGTGTGAGAGTGACGTGGCAGCTCCTGTGTGACGTGTGAGGAGGCTGTCACAATAAAACTAGTGTCCAGCAGTTGGGATACGAGTGTCCAGTAAAGCCTTGGCCAAAGTGACCAGAGCAAGAGATTTCAGTTAGGGTCACCTGAAGTGGAGAGCGTGGGTAACTCTCTAGGATTTGACTCAAGGGGAGCAAATCTAGTGGAGAGGCGCTTGAGCTTCAGTGTGGGAGAACTGAGATAGGAGCTCTGTGGTGTCCATTTTGTGAGGGAGAGTGGCCCAAAGCAGAGGCTGTGGTGTTTTGGTCAGCATGTCTAGAGTTAGGGAAACTCTGGGGACACAGACCAAGGGCAGCAAAGCTGAGGGATCTCCATTCTAATCAGCAGAACCTAAGTGTGGGTAGAGCTGTATTAAAATTTAAAGTTGAGCCAAAGGCAGAAATATAAAGTAACCTTAGTTGGCAAGGGGCCCAGTGTAAGGGGCAGAAGACGCCAAAGAAGGGCAGTTACAGTTACCAGCTCACACCTAGGCCAGCTGGTGTACAATGCAACTAAATATCAGACCTTAGCACAGAAAGGAAAAAAGTGATTTAAACAGAGGCTTGGAAATAAAACAGCCTTTTTTTTGTGAAAAATATGCTCTTAACTCGCAGTAAGAAAACTGAAATTGAACTGAGATCTGCTGAGATGACAGCCAGTTCAGACAAAGAGTCTAGTGGGGGAGAGGAAAGATTTTCCTCAGCACAAGAGAAAGAGTCCTCTAGAGGAGATTTATCAGATCTCAGAAAATTGGAATTAGCACAACAAGAATATGAATTCAGAATAAAACAGCTAGATATTGAGGAAAGAATGAAGTGGCTAGAATTAGAAAGAGAAAAATATGAGGCCAAGGTCAGGCAAAGAAAGCTAGATTTTGAACAATGGAAGTTGCAGCACAGAGCTAAGACTGAAGAAAAATTAAAAGAAATAAGAGTTC